AAAGTAATCAAAATGTATATTCTTTCGTAAATTACATTTTAGAATTACATTAGAAGATTGTAAGATATTTAAACTTAATCTTGTTTATAAAAAAGTTTTTGAATTGTTAACAAAATATTTTAATTGTAATTACTATTGTGAGTGAATTCACGTCTGCCCATGATCATGAGCCAAAAAAGAAATCGAGCGCATTATATCCGAAAAATATTAGTTTCATTTAAATGAATAAAACATGCTAAAGTCTTAGATGTCATTAATCGCTTTATGTGTGGTACATTACAATTTAAAACTATCGCTCCTTTCAATAACACATGAAACTTATTCCATACATTTCAAGCTTTACACACATTATGCTGTCTTTAAAGTATAAAACAAAGTCAACAATTTAATCGAGAAGTGTGAAAACATTTAAGTTCTCACTAAAATTAAGAGATATGCTTAAACGAAAGTGTCTTAGTGGGTGTGACGTGGGATAAAACGTGGGCACAAGGACAAAACCCACACAGTGGACCATGTTTGAGGAACACATGTACATATAAATATATATAATAAAATTATTATTATGAAAGAAATAGAATATATTGATTGTAATAAAAATGAGATGAATTGATACATGCTTGATAGTTGATAGGATGCAATCGGTCAACGACTGTTGTAACATCATCATTATTAGTAATATATTTTACTGAACTACAAAACACACACACACATACGCACACAAATATATATAATAGAATTTGCAGGATTACTATCACAGAAATACTATATAATTTTTCGACTCCACTTACAATTATCTTAATAAATGTTGTAGTATTGAATAAAACACACAATCTTCTCGTTACATATAAGGCACTTGATATAGATCAAACACACAATATTGGTTTTGCAAACTTCCGAATTCTTTACTGTTTACACACGTACCAGAATGTTAGCGATTTGTTGGAATTCTTTTAAACAAATATACTCCTTAAATGTAAGTACCTAATGAATATATTTCTTTATATAATTATGCGTTACAATTCCTTTTTACCTTGTGTATTAACATAAGCATGAGGTTAACAAGTGCTATGTTATTATGGGTCCGTCTATTTCTCTATCTTGTATTGCCTTAGTGGAACTTATGTTCATTGTGAGTCGTGTCTCGAAGACATCGGGGACATAGAAAGTCATCTAAACAAAGCTAAAAATGACCACACAAACATACATACGTCCTTATTGACGCGGCTTACATTACAAGGATGTGAGTAAAGTAAGATATATACATATATATATTAAAATAAATTTAATGTTTTATGATTAAATCTCACGATTTCTCTTAAACAAAAGCATTCCTTCAATTGTATTACATATGATAAGCTTAAGACGATTTTTCTGTCACAAGTTTTGGTGGCACTAAAGGGATTATACATATTTAATTTGGACATAGAACTATGAAATCAAAAGTTTTAAAAGTCAGCGGTGGCCTAGTAGTTAAAAGGCCCGCCTCTCATGCGTGAGGGCGCCGGTTCGATCCTGGCAAGTACCAATGTGATTTTTCCGAGTCATATGTACTTTCTAAGAGTATTTAGACATCACTGATTAATGCATTCCCAAAGAGGGATGATGTCAGGCAGGCGGTCGGTCGTAAAAACAATTAGTCAAAACATTTCACAACATGTAAGGCATACCCTGGCTAAAGCTGAGTAATTGCCAGGTAGAAGGAGAAAGAATTATGAAATCAGTAACAATAATAATAAAGAAAAATTAATAATAAACTTATTAACTTTCGTTTTTGTAAATTACCCTTAATTTATTCACGTACGAAATCTATTCTAGCAAATAACAGAATGTAATTATGTTAAGTAAATTTCTACTAGTCAGTGTTGCCATTATATTTAATGTTTACATTATAATAAAAAATACGAGGAAATTATAATGATCAGATCTAGAGGCCATTTGGATTTTTTGAATAACATCCGCAAATAGAGACAACGAAGAGGACATATTATATAAAAATATATGTGAAAGTCGAGAGTTAAAAATTATAACGATTTTCATAAAATTTACTGTAAAAAGTAGATAGGACTTCGTAAAAACAAAGATGCTTGATGCTATAAAATATCCATCCAGGTTAAGTGACGAGTGTAATCCATTTTTAATGTCGTAAAAACCATTAGTCAAAACTATTCACCCCATCTAAGGCAGACCCTGGCTATAGCTGAGAAATTGCCAGGTAGAAGAAGAAGAAAAAGGTAACTCTATTCAAGACTTTGATTAGTAGAAAACGTGAACGGTATATGCCAACAATGTCGCTAAGTATGGTTGAATATAAATACTTAGTTCTTGATAATTATTAATTACTAATAAGTATATTACTATATTAGCTGTGTGTATAAGACATAACCATAATTGAAAACTATTAATAATTAACATGTACAAATAACGTAAAAGCGAGAAGTATTCATTTCAAACAACTCCATATTGTTTAGTTCTCGTACAAAAACATGTAAATTATTTTTTGACGACATTCTCAGGGTTGGATTCTTGCATGAACAAAACTAATAAATATTTCAAATAGCTATTACCTTCGAATACAAGTTTTGATATTTTTTCTAAAATAAATTGTCGAAATTTACTTTAAAATTATGTAACTGTTTGTTAAGGTTCCGTACAAATCTTTTATTATTTTAGGGATCAACAAAAGACGACAAGTTTACATTCGTATTTTGCTATAAGCATGTATAATATCTCTTCCGTAGATTTGTGATGTACGTATATATATTAATCTTTAAAACCACTTCAGACTTCTATATCTTTCAACAGATTTAAATGAATTCTTCATAAATAAGAATTATATTACATTGAATATATGTATAAATCGCTACTATGTTAGACAGCAGTACTTAAAAGGTTGTGTCGGTCAAAAATGATGTCACCACTACTTAGTTTGTAATAAACAATGCTTTGTTTATTTACTAAAAGTAGGAATATTGATATGATTACAATATAATCTTCTAATGTAACAAAGATGGGTTGTGACAGTCATTTCAAACGTTTCTGATGCTGGCCCGGTTTTCATGTAGTTTTTTATCCGACATAACGGCGGTCGCGTATACCGTATTCGTTCGCTATTGTTGTTGAAAAATAGTATATAGAAAAAAATATGTAATGATGACGTTAAGTTACGTGTTATCTTATTTAATTGTTCGCCTTTAATACAGTATAAATGACATACAAAACAGTGTACCTTATAAAACATTGAAAAAAAAATGTAAAAAAAGTAAGAAGGTTTTAATCATAAGGCTTTATGTACTATGCAAAGTGTTAAGTGTCTATAAAAAAACAGTTCTTTAAAAGTTAGAAATTTAACAAAATAAATATTATTTTTGTGTTACTCAGTTTTTAGGGTCAGTCAAATATTTAAATGTTTAAAGGACTTACCTAACAAAATCTTGGAGTTTAAAGGAAGATATTTTTTTACATTAAAATTGTAACCTTTGACCATTAAACATACATGTATAAAACTATATAAAATTTTCCACATGATAAAAAATAGATTTTTATATAATTTTTATTGGTAATTAAAGTTATTACAAATTTTAGATTCAGGACTTAAGATAACAGTTAAATCTCCAAATTATCTTAACCCAAAAAATATATCTTCTTTAAAAGTTATGAATAATATTATTTTGTGCTGTGTGATGGGATCTTTGCCAAAACAGGTCAATATCCCGTTCAAAATGTTCTACCAACCCAGATATGAAATTATCACATACTGAAATAAATTATATGAATAACTTCAATAAATTGAGACTAAGATTCTGAATACAACTCTATAAGTTCTCAAGAATATGTAATATATATAGAATTCATGAATAAGCCGTGAAGACATTGCATAAAAATGGGAACAGAAATAACCGCACACTATCTGTCTCCGACTGGTGCTTGCTACCAAAGGGTTATTTATAACATTGGGCACACTTCCCTAGATATGCTCATACTGTAACATTCAATGTGGCCAGCTAATTATTACGATTCTTGAAAATCGTTTCGTTTTAACCGGCCAGTCTTCAATCCAAATTTACTTGAGAGGCCTATTAATAGTCTCTAGGAGTATCTCTCCAGGGTGAGGTCGGCGGTTAGGCAACGAGATATTTACGTAAAGGACATTACAGTTACACAGCTGAGTGAGTAAACAAGGAGTACAGAAGTAAATGCTACAGGTTAACAGCAACAGGTGTTATCAGGTCGTGACCACAAACAGACAGCGTAAATAGATATCAGACAAACACACTTCATAAATTCCACTTTCACAGCACTTGTGCCTAGATTTTGAACGGATATATCTGAACAGCGAAAGATTTTATAATACGTAAATTCCATAAATACCTTCTCCTTCGCCCGTCCGGCATGTTTTTGCACTGATTTCGCGATTAACGCACCTTTACTTTCTGCCATTTTATAACTTTTTCATTACCAACTGTCTTTATTTTCGAAACACTATCTAACTGCAACTGTGCGGTTGCAATTTACTGTCACACGTCAAAATCCAAGTGCTACGAGATTATACTGGCATGAGACGTGACGTTGAACTGTCTCTCTAGCGGGCAGACGCGACTTTAGCGAGTGAGAAGATTAAACAATATAGTTTAAAATATCGACGCTAGATGGAGCTTAAATTTTATTGTGCTTTTAAAGAAATCACTATGAATGTATTGATTTAAGAAAACAATGTCTTCACTCAGTTCTATCAAGAATTAAAATTTTGTTAATAATATTAAATAAAAGTTTTCTTCAAACCAATTCATAACAATGTAAAATGACATTTGACAGTTGTCAATTGGCGTCGGTTCTTTTTTTGAAATCCTTTAATTTTCATAACTTCTATTAAATAAAAGTATTATTTTATACCTTCTATACTTTGTTAAACTTATAAAACATGGTAATATTTAGATTTCTAACTAAATAAATATATTTTAAAACATTTTTCATTATATTATGTCGTATTTTTTTATATATAGGAACCAAAAAATGAACTTCAGCGTAATGCGATTGTGGAAGCTCGTCGTAAAGAATTGGAGACTTATCAAAGGGCACTGGACATACAATGGCTCAACAGTCGTATGGAGGACGGCAGGATGGGCCGTTGTATCGCACTCGTTAAAAAAGAAGCGGAAATGGAAAAAGATTTCCAAGAAGTAAGTTCTACTTTACTTACTGAACTGATTCTAATATTTGTTATCCCTAGTTAATATCATTGTCTTTACTATTGTATCTTTCAACTCATGATATAGATGTTAGTTAAAAATGAAAGCTTAGAATTGAGAACTTCTATTTCATAATCTTTCCTTTTCACTTCTTACACCAGGAAAATCTCAAATTGACTATTTTTCACTAGGAAAATGCGCTATTAAATAACACTTGCAAAATGCTACTTCTTAGAATATTCATTATATTCAAAATCACTCTGTTAAATATTTTTCAATATATTATTTTTAACAGAGAACAGATCATGCAGCGATCGTTAATGCTAGGGCTGAAAAGGAAATTGCTCTTGGCATAGAAATAGCTAAAGTTCAAAGAGAGGAAGCTTGTAAACTACTCAGAAGACAATATCTTAGGGAACGGGATCCGAGCTTGAGAAATCTTATCAAGAACTTACAGGCTGGCTATGTTTGTAAAGATTTACAACAACAGATTTTGCACAATCAGTATAAAAGATTACAGGAAAAGGTAAGGTTTCTTTATATTTTACACTTATTATTAACACATAGTGGTGTAACTATAAAGAGGCAAGTCGGCAAAACACCCATCAGATGAATCTATATTTATTACTAGCTTTTGCCGCGGCTTCGTCCGCGTTTAATAGTTACTTCCGACAGATTTTTGGTTCTTCCCACATAGTTCCCGTTCTTGCGGGGTTTTCGGAATGGTCGAGTTCCCGTAGAATTTTCAGGATGAAACCTATGTTTTTTTTAATTAATAATGAAGTACTCTTAACCAAAAACATATTTATTTGTTTCTATGAATAAAGATTAATATTATTATTTTGATACAACTTAAACGAGTTATTTTGACAAAATTAGGCACCATAAAAACGGTTTTTGTGAGTTAATCTTAAAAGATAGACATATACTGTCGTGGAGTGTTTTTTAGATCATTAAAAGAGCTATTATTCTTTAATACATATTTTTTGTGTATCTTGAACCGTTTTCACGGCACACGCAACGGAAGGCTTCAAAGATGAAATAATTTCTCCCGTTTTTTACACATTTACCACTATATCTTTGCTCCTATTGGTCGTAGCTTGATGTTATATAGCCCACAGCCCTCCTCGATCACTGGACTATCCAACACAAAAAGAATTATTCAATTCGAACCAGTCGTTTCGGAGATTAGCGCTTTCAAACAAACAAACAAACTCTTCAGCTTTATAATATTAGTATAGATATACTAAAGTAATTGGACAAGATATTGTACTTATTAGGAGTATATTCCTCCTCTAGTGTTTATTAGTAAACTCTTACAAATAAAAGTGTTCAAGTAAGTAATATAAAAAAATAATATTAGTGAATATTCAGCTTTTTATATAATTGACACAGTGGCCATGTAACATATGACATGAATTTTGCCACAAGCCTTGAACAGTGTAGTTACACCACTGTTAACATATTAATAATATTTAAGGATTATTATTACTCATTGCACCAAAGAGTTTGCTTTATATTTTTGATAATAATTATAGTATATAGCTCACATTTACTTATTTGTTACAGGCTGAAGAGAATCAAGCTAATCAACTGTTATACAACTCTCTACATACCGACAAAGAAGCTAAGGAGTTGGAAGAAAAAGCAAAAATGGAGAAAAATAGGAAATACTGTATGGAACTACAACAACAGTTAGTTAACAGACAGAGTCAGAGGCAGTGCGAGTATGAAGAAATGTTGATTGAGAAGAAGATGTTGGAAGATATTATGAGGACCCTCGCTGATGAAGATCAGAGGTTAGTATGGAACAGAAATATTATAATATGGACATACTACTTGTATAACTAGGAAATGTATGTATGTACGTGATTCCATACTGTATACTGAAATATTAAAATATGGCCATACTACTTATATTATTAGGAAATGTATGCTTGTTTGTGCTTGAATAAAATATACTGAGTGGATAAAAATTAAACTTTCCAATTATATAGCTTAAATATTGGAATAACATGTAGGCTATAATTAATTGCTACATTGTATTGTATTAAGAGTATAGTGTTTAGTTTAACACTGAAATACAAGTTATAAGTATGGGATTACTTCTTACAGACCATGTTGTATGGTGGACGATTGGTTCTCATAAATACTAAAAATATTATTCACTTATTAATATATATTATTAAAAATTAAACAGAGTTGTTCACAAGAACATGTGTTATATTAATTTGAATCGCTACATAGTAAGTACATAATTATTATAGAGAAGTTTAAAGTCAGTTGTAAATAATGTGCTCTTATAATTTATGTAGTGCTTATATTTAGTATTGGAATGAAGTTCCTTATCGCTCGTTGTGAAAGGGCTAGACGGGGAAAAATCTCACGGAAAGTTGTCACAACACTTCTTGTTATAGTTACAATTACTATATAAAATAATTCAAAATATTATTATAACTTAAAAAAAAAATTATTACAATTTCTTCACCTCTAATGTTTTTATTATTATATGTATTGATTATTCTTGCAAGTAATTCCAATCAGCTTTTCACCAACAGTCACTTCCACCACAACTTGACCTACCATCTGTTACCTACCACCTATTAGAAAAAGTATAATATGTACTTAATTAAAAAAAAAATGTATTGGAGGAAAAATAATGTTTTGTAATAATTTTCCCTCTCAATGTAGTAACTATCATCAACTATTTAATTTTATGTGAGTGAACTATTGACATTTTAGGAAATAGATACTATAGGATGAATATATGAACATCTAAATGGCACACTATTTTAACTCATCGATTGAAATGAAATAACTTGTTGTTGCGTAAAATAACTCCAGATTATATGTATAAAATGTTTAAATTAAATGTTAAATTAATTATTATTAAAACTATATTTCAGAGAATTGAAACAAAAACACGAGCAAATGTTGAAGATGCGTAATGAGATGGTGACGTTCAAACAAGCGAGAGAAGCTTGGAAAGAGAAGCAGAAGAAGATGGTTGTGTTAGAAGAAAGAGAGATTGAGAAGCAACGGAGAGCTGCCTCGGACAGGAGTGCGGACTTGTGAGATATATTATACAGGAGATTATGTATCTATATATATAGAGATTTCCACCTATATATTGACTCATCACGATATCTCTGGAACCATAAGGCGCAGCGACTTGAAATTTGGTAGGATTATTCCTTTCGCCAAGTAGAGGTCAGCTAAGAACGGATTTTACGAAATTCCACCCAGAAGGGGGGTTTCGGGAGGCAAACAATGAAAAATACGCTTTCACGCCTAAACCACTGAACTGCTTTTAATGAAATTGGGTACAGAGATGGAGTTGGGCACGTTCCAGGTGTTCCAAGTGTGGACGCGTGCGGCGGCGTGCTGATACAACACTACGCCGCCACACGCGTATGTGTGAGTGTGTGTGTATACCTAATCTGTAGGGTGTTCACACGATGCGTAATTAATTACATAACTTTTGGTTAACTTTACTTAGAAATTTATTAATGTATTTATGTTATATTAATTTTTATTTTGTCATATATGATCGTCAAATATCACGTCCTCAAGTATCAATAGTAATTCACCAGTCACCCTGTATATATTATACAATGTATATTATACTATACATTTAACATAAACTGTTTTTTGGAAGACTTTTGTAATAATTATTACATATATGAAATAGAATTTTAGTATGTATAGGTGTGTTAAATCAATTTAATATTTTAATTTTACATATAAATGATATACTGTATGAATATATACAAATTGTTATTATTTTAACAAATGGCTTGTTTTTTACAGAATAGCAAAAAGAGAACAAAAAGCAAGGGAAAAGGAGGAATTAAATAAGAAAATTAGTGATAAAATTCTAGCGGATGAGGTAATTGTTATTAATATTTAACTTGCATTTTAGTATACTTTGATAATATTTATTATTTAGAATTATGAGTTTAAAAACTAAATAGGATGAAAAATTGCTTTTTGTTGCCTGTTTTTCTATTCATTATGTTATGGATTCAAAAGTACAAGGCTGATAAAAAATGGTTGGACTTGAATCCTCTAAGAGGTCTTAACTACTAGAAAGTAGTATGAAAAATAGTCATATATGTAGTTACTTTTTAACGGAACAAATATATCAGTGACATGTTTTAAACTAAACTTTAAAAATAATGTATATAAAAGCAGATATAATTATTTTTTTTACCTCGTTACAGGCAGCGCGACTCGAAAGACAAGATTTAATCAAACTTCTCCAAGAACAAGAGTATCTGGAGAAGAATGTACAAGATGATAAAGAAGAGAAGGAGAAGTTGGAGAGAGTGAAGAAGGAGACGAAGACGGCGCTGATGACACAGATGACGGAGAGAAAGAGAGAACGGGAGATGATTAGAGAGAGAGAGAGAGAGTTTAGACTGAGTGTGAGTAGGTGACTATGTAGTTCTATATGATATGGCTGTACAAATATACTAGTTATTGCCAATGACTTCGTCTTGATTGTTACTATCGTTGGATTCATAGAGGATAATTGTGTTTAATGAAATACATAAATAAATTATGTTAAACAATATTTAGCAAACTCAAACTCAAATAACTTTATACAATATAGAAGCATTACACTTTCTTATTGATGGTCATTTGAGACAATACTATCGGTTCGGAATAGAAAATACCCTGACCTGTTAAGAACCGGCGAAAGAAACTCAGCGGGTTTTTTTAATATTTGTCTCATATATTATATACACAATTTAATATGAGATGAAATAGCCAGGAGGCGATCGTTTCATTCCCAAGGTGTGCTCTCGATCATAAACTCATTAATTGTATATTAACCTTTTGCACACAAGCGTTCCTTAATAATTTTTTTTAAATTTAGCAACAGAGGCATTTTGAACGCTTTCTGGGATCCTGTTGTAAAACCGTATACATTGCCCCACAAAGGAGTTACTGACTCAATGTAGTCGAGTAACAGGAGTAACAAGTTTATGTTTGTTCCTTGTACCAATGCTATGAGTATCACATTTTCTCATGAAATCATTAATATTTTTTCGTACATACATAACATTGCAGAATATATATTGCAACATATATCCATCGTGTTTGAAGTCTCCACTGCATATAATTATTCAGATATTAATTATAGTCTATTCTGGCAATCAAACTACTTTATTGGAAAATTTTATTAAAATTTTTTCAGTTCATGTCTTGTGTGAGAGCAAAAAACATCCATACATTCTGTCTGTGTAATCTATTATTTCACTCAATCAATCTTAAAAATGTGTCACCATTTAAAATTTAATTTTCAGGTTGAAAAGAAAATGGCAGCCGAGGACGCAAAGGCAGCAGAGAAGGAAAGGAAAGAGAAGGAAAAGAGAGAAAGATATCAAAAAGAATTAAGACAACAAATAAAAGAAAATGAGATAAGAAGAGAGAAGGAGAGAGAGTTAGAGGAGAGGAGAGTTAAGAAAGTGTTTGACTGTGATAAGGCCTGGTATGTTTGGATGATTTGAGTTTTATACTACTCATATTATAACTAAGCTTTATTTTATATGGAGATGTGGTTATGTGTTGATTTGTCAAGCAGAAACTTCGAACATTATTATAGAGCCATGAATTTGTCTCAATTTCTAAAGTTACAATACATTATACATTTACCTGGTATCATACATTTAGACCCAGTTTCACCAATCAATGTTTGTTAAATCTAAACAAGGTATTTACTAACAAACCTTTAAAATTATAAATTTCTGCTAAAATATTTACTTCCCACGTTCCAAAATTAACAACGTATTATATGTTAAGCAAAAACTTCGAACATTATTATAGAGCCATAAATTTGTCTCAATTACTATACATGTAACAATTAATTTATGTGCTATCATGCATTTGGTGTCCCATAAACCATAACATAAGTTGTATTGTGTATGAAGTACCAAACATATATTATAGATGTCGCTGATAGTTGGTTATCACATATATATCGTTTCAATACACTAATATTAAATGTTTGAGGAGAGAAGTCATGTACTAAAACTAGTTATATTATAGTTTAATGAGGAAAATAACAACATTCCTTAATTTATGATATCCATTTAATATTGACATGAATAAGTCTTAATTGATGGATTAATGAATGTATGTTTATTTATTGATGCAGAAATCAGTAAATGTATAACATGCAATACATTAATGTAGCTCATACATAACATAGAAGCTACAACACAAACAGTCAATCTGGGTAACTTTGACAGATAAGGGTGATATTTTATACAACATATATTTAAAAAAATTCAACCTATCATTCGAGTGTTTTCTATTTTTTCAGTGCTCTCATATTACTTTCGGTCTCTAGACATTCACAGAAAGTTTATAAAACATACCAATATAGTATATAGTATAAAACCTCAATTCTGTGTGTGTCAAAGTTACCTTCATAAAATGGGTAACTTTGACACACACGGAGCCATGCATAAAAAAGTAGTAATAAGTATTATTTTTCTCAATCTGGGTAACATTGGTGTATATGTATATTTATTAACTAATGGATGCATGTGACGCAATATAACGGACATTTTGCAGTTTTGTCTTATATAAAAAAATAAAGAATCAGTCTACATGATCTGGCAATGTTCCACACATTTTTTAACACTGTCAAAAACGCTTAAAAACTCCTTTAATTCAACATTTTAATTCAAACTAGAAAGAAAACAAGCAAAATTAATTAAAACAAACAAACATTTTGTAAAATCTTGAGCCTAAATTGTCTATTCTCCCCACTCCATATAGAGCAAATCCTCATTAATTGTGTGGAGCCCAGGCTGTTTAAATACTGGTTTTACTGTTATCTACTGTAGATACAACATCATCATGTTTAATTTTAATAGTTTCTCTTTTATCTGGCCATTTCCAACCACCTTGTGTTGATCTACTCATGACAACAAGTGTATAATACGGGAATGTGAAACTTGTCACTTTTCCTGGAAACAGTGTGCCTTCTGTTTTAAATATAACTGTTGTTCCAGGTGATAAATCAACATATTTTGAAGTGCAAGGTTTAGATAAGAGCATACTTTTTTCTTTTTGTACATGTTGCAAAATTCCATCTTTAACAACAAATTCTTCAATTACCTCTTCCTCCACCATTCCAGTTACTGTTCAAAATACATATCTTCATATTTAGGCATGAAATTTGAAAATAAGACGTAATTATATGCAAATATGTCATATAAATGCGATAGTACCCGATGAATCAAAGTTACCCAGATTGACTGTATACGATAGATACATTTAACTCAAAATAGATGGCGTTGATTAGTTTTAATCTATATATTTAATTTCACTTAATAATTTGTAGTGCTATTATTTATTATAAACCATATAATTTGTACCGTAGGCGTGAAGAAGTATCCAAAGAGAAGCAGAAGATACTTGAAGGTCATGCGGCTAATGTAATCGGCTATGTGAGACCCGGAGTATTAGACGGAACGGAACAGAAAGGCCCTGACGCGAGGAGAACCAAGTGTAATGCACAGTGTAGGGTGTTGAGGGAATACTGATAGAAGGGGGAGGGAGGGGGAAGGAGTTTGGAGGAAAATGGAGGAATTTCAAGTACAGTGTAAACTCCATGTAACGTCACTCGATTTAACGACAAACTTTCGACAAGCGTCGAAATCATATTATGTGCATAAGTAGGTACTAATACTAGTCTGAAATAAACTTTGTCTTTTTCTGATTCTGATTTTTCTTCTCTCTATTTAACGACAACTCTCTATAACGCCATAAAATGCAAAGTCCCTTCAGTGTCGTTATATTGAGTTTACACTGTATATGGAATCTGGAATAAAGACTGATTTATTATAATTGACTCGATTTTAAAATGACTTGACTTTATTGATACTGTTATTTTGGGTGTATGTATGTATGTATTTGTCAAATTCATATTTTTTGTTATATATAGATAGATTTTTTTTTCGGTATGTTTAGTGAGCAAAATCTCTGTTTGATGAATTCATGTGCTTACCTTAATTATTATTGGATAAAAATTTAAAATGTAATGTTGAAGGTCTGATATATATTTTTATGTTAAATTGAAATTCTAAATAAATAGTTATTTAACACAAGTACCTGAACTTTTTTTGTTATTTTGAATGATTATTTCAATTTAACTGTATTTTTAATTTATGATGTTCTTATTTCTTTGAAGGTCTTCTTGATTTTAAAGTCACCTCTAATATCAATAGTTATTCTAGTACAGGGCCATCGATCATAGATGACGTGCTTATGCAATTTTGTTTCCTTATAAAAGATTTTTTCTCTATTAAATTTTTATCTTTTTTTTTCATTATTCTATATATATATTGATTAAATTATTTAAAATAATATGTTACTTAATATTGTTGATATTGTTAAAGTCGGAATTTATAAATATCAATTTGATATTTTGAACGTTGTAAAAGCAGGAATCATGTATCATTAAATGGTGTTCTGGTTGAAACATTGTTTGTAACCGTTATTGCTCTTAATATTTATATTTATTGCTGGTAAAAACAAGTCCTAAAACTTAGTCAAGGAATTTATGGCTCTCCAATTTTTTTAATAATGAATTTTGAACGATCATATATATTTTTTTATCTTTAGTTGAGTAAATGTTTATAGTTAGAATGTGTTTGTGTAATGATAAGTTAATTTATATGAATGTTTTTATTCATTTACTCGCATTGAAAATAAAAGCAACAAAATATTGAAAGAATGTTAACTAAGAGAACAAAATTGTACAACCATTTATTTAAGAGACGAAACTAAGTTTAAGAAATACAAACGGAATTTAGATCAGATTCACAAAGCAGTTAGTCAAAAACAAGAAAATTACAATCTTTATTACATATTTAATGCTATACATGTACAGTAAAGTTTTTATTTTGACCCAATAGATATATTACGAGTCTCAAACACCGCTTTATCCTTGACTGCTGAAAATTTAGTAGGTAAGTTATCTGATCGCCTATCAAAGACAGTACTTTCTATGCTCTATAGTGTAAGGATACTTCACATACCCAGTAACTAATAAAATGCAAACCTTTGATTGTATTATTCGACTCAAATCTCAAGACAACAGAACAAATCGGTTTTTATACGGCTGCATCACAGCAAATTGCTACTCGACAAAAATTATATATCTTTTTAACCGACTTCAAAAAAGGAGGTTATTAATTCGTCAGAATTTTTTTTTATGTATTTTCCCCGATTTCTCGAATACTCTTTGACCGATTTAAGAAATTATTTTTTTATCTAAAACAATGCACCCTCCAGGTGGTCTTACACTCACCCATATTTTTTTTATAATGAGATCCTCCAAAAAATGAAGGAATTAAAAAAATGTGAAAATCAATTCTGTCTATATAATTAATGTGCATTTGGGAAGGAGTTTCTTTTCGTTTTTCGGATGATTCTTAAAGACGATGTCTTGTATTTATGAAATAAAAAGATTATTTGAAAATAGTTAAAAATTAGGTTCGTTTATTAACTTTACATTTTTAAAACTTATTAGATATTTAAAAATTATTGTTAGATAATTTAGTTCAGAAAACAGCCTAAGTCACAAAATATTTTTTGCTTTGCAGTGCCTATGCTATTTTTTGTTCGAAGTCAGATTTATTTAATTTAAAAATAACTATTGCTTTGTGGAACTTATTTAAACATGTAATATAATTATCCCATGATGTTAACTAAGATATATTTTAAGATGCTCATCCGAAGATTTATTATACTTCAATTATCTCAGTGTGACATTAGCAGTAGCGTAGAAATATCCGAAGCTACACTTAATAAAATTTAATGAAACATTATATATTCAGTACTTATTAAATAAAAGCTATTAACCTTCCTTGGAACAGAAAAGTTAAAGATATAAGCTTTAATTTCTTTAAGCGTTAGTAATAACCTTTTTTATTGACATTCCACCTAGCTAAAGAATTTTAGTTTACTTGGTTTTTAAACAGTAATATCCCAAATGAAATAGCATTATTATAAAATAATTTTTGCCTCAAAGTATAGCTGACTGAGTACACCCGAGAATGTCTCTGCAATATTCATCGAAGGATTTAAAAAAGCTTAAAATAAATTAATGATAATAACGGAAAATTTTAAATAAAATAACCATAATGAGTAGTTTATTTCATGTATTTATTGACTTTCATGTTGCGACCTCCGGAACACATTCCGCTGAAATATCTTTTAGGTGTTTAAAAACTAAAAATATAATCATTAGCCACGTATATATGTACCTATTTTAATAAATTAGTTATGAAATTAATAATAACAAAGAATCTAATCTATAATAACGCTCATATATTTGAAAAAAAAATGAGTTTTTATTCAAAATTATATTAAGCATTAATCACGGCTGTTCCAGTACCAATAAATGTATGTCCGTCTGTATACGTTACATTACAATTACATAAATCTCAAAAATAGTGAAATGATTGCTTTTAATCAAAAATTTTAAATGAAACTATTTTTTCTGACACTTTCATCTCGTCTGCTCATAATCGCTATTGATGTAAAGGAGCTGAAACACTGGGATCACGTAGATATAAAATAATAAAAAAACTAGGTTTCAAGTTAGCGTTTTTATACATAAGTGAATATGTCTGACATGTTATAATTTCTTTCATCAACAGTAATCATTTTCAATCAATACACAGGTACAGTTGCAATGTGGGGTCAACTCTAACACAGCAGAATTTTTTGTTGTTAGCGTTAAAGTCTCCTTTACTTAAACAATTAGGTTTACAGTTCTGTATGGAAGAAAAATCATTACCCAAGAATTTATGATGATAAAACAATATCAATTACACTGACACAGGACACTAGACCATTGAAAACTATTTCGGGAATAGAAAATGGTAATTATGCACAAGAGAGTTAGAACCCACTTATTTTTACTCCGACTGGTGAAGTCTCATTATGTACATTAATTAACTAAACACAAGCAATATCCAAAAAAATATGTCGTTTTAACAGTTACTGTTATTATAAAATAATATTTTATCGCGGTCGTCATCAATGCCGGTACATCACGATGCAATTATTACAAAAATGTCCCAACCCACAATTAACTTCAAACCCTTCTTTGTTCCGTGCTTATCTGCTGACGACAATGTTTGTTGTTTGTTCAAATATACGCTTTTTGTTTGGCTTTTGTTTTAATGGACTTTATTTAAATATATTTTAAGCTGACATCGAAAAATTAGGTCATTAAGTCAATGCGTGTGAAGTATAATTAAATCAGTATATTAATTTAACGGGTACTCAAAATGTGCAGAAGTATAATATGTATGTGTTTTTAGGAATGTTTTTTATCTATTTCATCAATATTTGACTCTTTTTGTTTGTTTAAAATGCCCTAAATGTTTTAACAAACATGTCATAGTATTAACATAGTTAACATCTAAAGTACAAAAAGGAATGTTTCATGTGTTTACTCTAAGAATATTTTATCTTTAATATAGTTTTAATAAAGACTCATGTAAGAGTTATATTTTAAACAGTAATTTCAAAAGTTTCCATTTGAATGCAGCTTCTTTATTGTGACAGTTCCTTGCGAGAATATTAAACATATAAAGAATACTACTTCGCTTTATTTCGTTGTTTTTTTTTCTTCGTCTTCTCGTTCCATTCATCGACCCGAGCTTTAAACTGTAAGCGGTCCTCTAAATGTTTTCTTTCCATAACACCCCAGTAAGTATTGTTATTGTACCAATTCACATACTTATCGTAATCCTGGAAATGCCCACATAGAAATAACTATAGTCTAAGCTTACTGCGTGTATGTAATATACAATTATTATCGTATTACAAATTCAACGTCACTGTAGTTTTCAATTATGTAATTGTAGACTTCAATCGTTTTCAATCCAAAGCAGGCGATCCTTTGAACAAAAAGATATTAACATTTTGATGTAGAAAATATTCCTTATTTAATATGTGTGTCCTTAAAAATAGTAGGTTTATATAAAATAAATAACCGCCTTACTTTATTATTCGTTCAGCCGTCAAAAATTCTTCTAAAGCTCTAACTAGAATACCAAAGGGATATCCTCTAAGAACGTATGCTAGACTGTGTGTATCCAGATTCAACGGAATTATGCGATTACTGAAACATGAAGCTTATTCAATATTTCTGAGGAATTTATTGAAATAATTAAAAATAACTAAAGTATCGAGAAAAGTTACTGATTAATATTATGTGACATTTATTAAAAAGTACGATATAATATTTGCTCTTTATTAGAAAATATGATTTAAATGAAACTGTATTGTAAAATAATCTGCATATGGTATTATAATAGCATTTTGGATCTATGTTATAAGAAATAAGCGAGCAAAAAATAACATATGTCATACCTATTATAAGCGCATTTACAATATGATTATACGACTAACATAGTCAAGTATGTACGTTATAACATTTCAACAAATTAAAACTGATATAAGAATGATTTGTAACAGAATAATATTTTGTACGGATATACTTTAACACCCAGTTTCTCAAGATAAGTTGTACAGTTGAATAGTTCGTGTCTGGGAGTAGTACTACGGATTTAAACTTCTTCAACATTTGTTTGCCTCGAGTCATCCAGGGATTTACACAACTTCCTATAAAATAAAATGAGTACTTATTATTATTTGTTTTATAATAACGAATAAGCAGAAAGTAATTCTGTATACTAACCGATTATCGTGATATTATCATGTTTATGAATTTTCTTGAACAATTGACGAATAAAATACTTCTTTATAAGATCAATTTTCATGTAAGAAGTTTCTGGTGTAACCTTTATATTAAAAATAAATACAAGTGATTCAATTCAAAGAAATGTCGCTCCAGAGGCTCTTTAAAACAACTGTATTTAGTCCAAGCCGAAAAACAGTCTTTCATTCATAAATCTTTGCACATAGTTCAATATTAAAGGATGCACTTAATGGGAAAAGAGTCACGCTTTGTTTCAATTATGAACATGTAAACTTGGACTGTGTATATGATGTAGAGATTGAGTTAAACCGAAGTATTTTCTTTTAAATTATGTTTACCTTTGAAGCGAACAATAAGTTAATATGTTTTATGTGTATGACAGACGGCTGTGTAACTTTAGCGCAGGCTGCTGTGTCATTAATAAGTTGTTTCAAATGTTCTGCCGTTTGATCCTCTACGGCGATTTGTAATGGATCCAACTCGTATAAAATCGCATCTTAAAATATTTATAGATATTAATTGAACTTAATATATGTGATTTATTAAAATAACATTGAAATTAATTCTTATCTCTATTAAGTTTTCAACCGGCTTTAAAAAAAGAGGAGTTTTTCGTCTGTGTTTTTTTTCTTTGCTATCTAACTTTGGACTGGGTAAAGCGATTGAATTGATTTTTTTTACTTGAAAGCTGTTGCTAATAGTTTGGTTTCATTTATATCTCTATCTCTGTTTGTTGAATATTGTGTATTTGTGAATACCATCTTTCACAGTCCATACAATTCTTCAGACGAAAGACGTTAATGGTAGCTGATACCAGATCTAAGATTGGTCTTTAATTGTATAATACAAATAAAGTACCTAATTTTGTAAATAAATAAGTATGTTTCAAACCGCATTCAGTGGCCATTATGTGAACTAAAGTTGTTTTTCCACTGTCCCTTGGCCCCACTAAAAGAACCTTTCTAAACCCGTGCATAACTTCTCTGCATCTTTCCCACCAAATTGTTCTAGTTTCTCCACCAAATGGTAGTGGAGATCTAAAAATTCTCATTAAATTGGTTCAAAACCGTATAAATGTTATGAAGGTGACAATTTTTTTTTCCAATACCTCAAGGAACATCTCATTTCATCTCCAGCGTAATTAAAATCACCTAAAAAGTCAGCGAAATTCGTTTTTGGATATTCTTTAAGGACATCTTTTTCAGCTAAATCCTACAAAAAATGACATGAGTTTAAAGAAACTAATCGAAAATAAAGAACGAAATTGAGTCTTACAAGAAGTTTGTCACTAATGTCTCCTGTTTGTGGTTTTATTTTACGAGTTTTCTTTGTGCGATGCAATTTTTCAGGGATTTTAGTTGGCATTATCTCTTCGTTGTTCTTATATTCTTCGGCCAAAGACTTCTTCAATATTTTTAGTTCATCCCTATAATAATTACTCGTATCTATTTATTTGTTACTAAGTTTTATTTTTGTCGGCATTCACTTACCTCATGTGTAATCCTGATTCAGTGCATATTTCTGTTTTAGCGACCGAACATAAATAATCTTCATTAATATTTTTAACATATTTTTCTTTCACATCTATATTTTCTTCAAAATCCAAATCAGACCAATCTTTGTCGTACTTCTCAAGAGCCTGATTATATGTTTACATTTTAAATCCTAATTTAATAGTACATGACACAAATCCTAATCATAAAAAAATTGTATTTATATCTCCATCATTCAAATATGTAGTATCGATCTAATGTTTTGTTTTTTATAGAGTTTGGTATGAAATCAAAATAATAGTCATAATTAGTGCACCTCGCAGAGAAATTTCAACCACAAGGGAAGATACTGGTGCAAATAGGTCTGAGTTAAAATCATCTGTATTGGTAACATTAGATAATTTATTTAATTTAAACTCACCTCGCATAAATGTTTAATCTTTTTCGATAAAGGATAGTTATACCCTGGATGTAGGGTCGGATTTTTCATAATTTTCTTAAGTAACTCAGCCTCTATTTTCTTTTTCTTTAATTCCTCCCTCTTCAACATCATTTCCTCTTCTTTGGCTGCTAGCTTTTCATATTTAAGCTAAACATATTACCATTATTCGTTAGACCTCATAAAACAGCTTGTCAAATGTTAAAATGTTTATTATAAATAATGAACCTGGAGAGCGGTTTTATTTTTGTTAGCTTTTTTTTCTTCTAAATAAGCTTCATACTTTTCTAACCACTCAGAAGGAGTTGGGATCTCTTCCTTAACTATCAATAGAGCACCTCCTTGGTTCTCCTTTGGAATATCATAGAAAAATTTTGCTTCGTAATACCTGTAATGTAATATTTTAATTCATTTCTACGATACATTATTATTCATAGAAGAAAAATGTACTACATCATACCACTTTTCAAACCAGGCTCTGATACAGTCTCTAAAGTCTTCGGCTATTTCATCACCTCGTCGTTTCTTGAAATCTGTCATATATTCTTCACAGTCCCTTTCCCATTCATTCTTGTATCTTTGATAAGTTTCAAAGTTTCTTTGTTCTATCTGTTTATTTTATAAAGTTCTTATAGAAAAGAATATATGTACATTGAATATTAATATTTCATATATCGATATAATTTACATATATTGTTCTTTTCGCTTTCTTACATATTTATATTTATTTGTAATCAATTTAACACTTTAAATCATCAAAAATTTTATTCATAAAGTAATTGTTTTTTACTTACTTCTTTATATCTTTGTATATACTCGTTCTTTGGTTTCTCACACAATCTCATTTGCAAAAGCTCTTCCCGTTTGTAAAGCTTCAGTTTTTCTCTCTTAATCTTGAAGTATGATCTGAAACAAGTAATACTTCTACTACTTATAATAATTGAAATGTTTACCTTATTATTGATAAATTCACCTCATCACAGTTTGTACGATCTTCGCACTTCTTTCTCTCAGAACTTTTCTTGCAGGAGGGTTCAAAATTCCTTTTAATTCTTTCTCCCATAGTTCTCGTCTTTGTTTCTGTTGTGTACATAGTTTAGTTACTTGTCTACAAAAGAAGTATACAATAAAGTAGTTAGTAAAAAGTATAAATTGAACTACGTATTTTAAGCAGACTACATATTTGTACCTAGTTTTTTCATGGGCTTGTATCAAAGCGATCATTTTCTTTCTCTCTAAACTTTCCTCTGATATCTTCTCAGCCACTTCATAAATTTTCGTCATGTTTATTCCTTGATGGTCCTCCTCAGGCAAAGTTTCAGCGTCGTCCCACCATTTCAGCTTTTCTGTTATATTTTCGCTCGGTCTTTCTTCTTCTATAATCGTATAAAATAAATTTAAATTATTATATAAACTTATTTATTTGTCACCTAAACTATTGTATACGATTTTTTTACATATTCTAGCAATAATTGTTATAAATATATTTATTTGTTATAGTTATTACCTGTATTTACTATCGTTTCTTCAGACTTATTCTTAGCTTTTTGCCAAGCCTCATTCACAGCCTCTTCTATGTCTTCTGATCTTTTGTGTTGTTTTGACAATTTCGAGAATTCTACATCATAGGACGTTAATTTATGGTCGAATAAACTGTTACCTAAGAATTGGTAACACGAACCTTCTAATTTTCGTAACTGTTCTTTAAGTTCCAGAATCCTGAGAATAATTTTGCATATAGATTAGGGTTTTGTAAGTGTAATGGCAAGTTTATAGGTTGAGTTAGATATTCGTATTGTTTATACTTCTACGTAATTTTTGTGTGTATAGTGTATAAGTGTCAGGAAATTACGTAGGTACTAGCTGCTAACATGCAAATTAATTAAATACACATTACTGTCTTTCTTATAAGAAATGTAATAAACCTTGTAATTGCAAAGTTACTCTGTTATTAAAATCTAAAGCTTATAATCAGTATCGCAATATTTACCTAGCAACGATGGCATCAACAATATTAGACATATATAAAGTTTTCTGTATTTGTAAATTCTGGTGCAAACATTCGACAGCGTCATTGTAACAAGCTATGTAAGTTCCTAGTATTCCCGATAGACGTTCCACGGCATCACACCACTTCTGATCATGAGCCTTCGTATCCTAGATTAATGGTTCTAGATGTATTTGTTGGTGGCAACATAGGTCTGAACTGATAAAAGTATTAATAGAAGTATAACCTGATATTCCAAATCGAGATTTACTATTGTATTCAGACTTTGAAGGACGTTTTTCCATTTTCTGAAATAGTAAGCACTGGACATTTTGATTATAAAGATTTGAATACCAACGAAGGAAACATTAAACGAAAATCTAGATGGCCATGAGATTACTATTTTTTTAACGTTTTTGCTCAGCTTTTTGAAAACTACTATGTATCTATGTTAAAAAAATATCGTAAGAACGCTGTCTTAGATGAATAATTTTTAATTTCAAATATATTTTGCTAAATATAATATTATTTTATTTTATACTTCATCCATTTCTATCCCATTTAGAGTCCTTATTACAAGCTGAATTTCACAGATAAAACGTAATGAGGTTAAATTTTATATTTGTATTTGGAGACTATACATAGCTGGTTTGTTTATTGAATGGGCGCCATCTTGTCACCGGAAGTAGTAAAGCCTTCCGTGCTCCGATGTCACCGGTGTCGTTTTCTTATCTTTTATCGTCACCTCAAACGCTATTAAGGACATTGCTTCGTAAACGTAAAAGGAGATGGACATTTTTTGTATTTTAAGATAAAATTTTCTTCTATTGTCACGTAATATTAAATTTATTATTAATTATTTATTTAAATAATGCATAAAGTTCAGTTACACTCTACTTGAGTCAAGGCGTATTCACTCAAGATACTATAATGATAGGAAATGTTTTAAGAAAATTGACACTTTAATGGAAACTCGTGAGTTTAAAAAGAATTATAGACTGAATGACGTGATACGCCCTTGGGAGGGAAAGAAAAAGATGCTCGGGTAAACTTGCTAGATAGGACAAATAATGTTTATTAACTTTAAATAACATATTTATATTGGCTTACATAAGTATTTACAAAAATATATCTGCTATTTCTGGGCATAAAAAAATGATATTTAATTTCAGAAAAGTCGTTAGTTATATTCATTTAAATGAAATACTTAAACATTTTTGTATGGAAATCGAAATGAATGTCTGTATAAGTCAGTCCATACATTTATTTTTCATACATATTATATTAGAATGTTATTTTTTTGTAGTATTCTATTTGGTTGTGAATTTACTCCGACGTTAGGTGTTAAGTTGCAGATGTCTCGGGACATAATACGATATCGCCAAAAAATACGAGCGAAGGGGAGCACTGGGAATAGCTGGGAACATCGCGGGCTTATGAAAACGGTTTGAGAGCTATTTAATTTAATTTTAGATCAGGAAAATGAAAGCATGCATTTCGTTTCAACCTCATCGGATAATGGATTTTTTTGTTAATTATTTTTTTATGATATTGATTGAAAGAAAAACATTTTTTCTTTTAATTAGAGTGTAAGTACTACATACCGTCTTAAGCACTGATTGTTCGTTTGGTTTTTTAAGTACAAAAATGCCATGGCCATTATTTCATAAAAAAATATTAAACAAAGTATTTCAACAGGATAATGTGTTTAAAATAATATAATTATGCAAAGTATAATGGTGATAAACAAAGCGGGGACATGTCGTTTCAAATTAACTTCAGTCGTAAATTGGCCGCGCAAACAACTTTCAAATTGGCCCGTAGAGGCGACGCTTTCGCTAAATACCTATAAAAATGTCTGCCCGTGTGAAATATTGTGACTAATAATGCGGTTTAAGTTACGAAATTTAGGCGATTGAGAAAGATGGACGGAAAATGGTTTCTATTTCTGTCGGTAAGTTAAGGGCTCAAATAACCATTTCCCTTGTGTGTTATAACAGAAGAACTAACAACGGCATAAGAAATTGTAAATAGCCCCAGTCACCTTATGATACTTCTAAGAATAATTTAATATAGTAATAATTATGAGCTAACAATACGATGGAAATTATAGGAAATTACGCCCCTAGACTAGGATTTTTTAAGCTGTAATAGCTTATAGATACTTAATGAAACATAATTGTTGAACAGTTATACAAATATTTCATTAGTGATATCAGGCGCTTGATTAGATTCATTTATAAACAGATTCATTGATTACCATGAACATATTGAGACCACCCACGACTTGAGATAAACGTTGACTGTTATGGAGATCATTAGTCCATAGTTATATATTACCAAAATATTAGGTAAACTTATACAAAGTACTCATTCTTCGTTTATTTATCATTGCAAATTAAATTAACTAGAATAGAATGTCTAAAAATCTCATTTATTTCTTCATACTTACGTCAACTTTTGAAAATATCGTTGGAACATTTTCACTGTTATTTATTTTAATAAAGATGCTTTATTTAATTTTTTCTTTAGTCCTATAAATTCTGTTAAACAAATCGTCACAGAATTTCATAACAGTAACATCTGGTGACTTAGATCGTTCTTCAAGTCTGTATAAATTGTAGCACTTACCGCGTCGAAACGGCACATTTTGGCTGATAGCGGCATAGACTACAGCCAATGAATTATCAGTAGTCACCACGTTATATATAACGCATCAAACACACATACATTATAATATGTTCAACATAAATAAACATTTATATAGCTTTCATCAGTTTAGTAGAAATAAAGACAAGTGATACAAAAAAAAATAGCTTACTAATATTATTTTTAAAGTCTTCTCGTGTCATATTTAAATTTATTTATTTTATGATCTATTTCAAAATATTATTAATTGATAGTAGCATAACATTCCACAAAATAAAATTTCAGTGTGAATGAAGTCATGGCAAAAAAAATAATTAATTAAGCAGAAACAAAACTAATATTTTGTTAGATATGTGTTACATCGCTGCAAAAATAAATTGTAATGCAATATTGCAGTTTTGATGTCTTTTAAACTAACTTATCAATATTAAATACTTTGAATAGCAAAATTAATAAAATTAACGTAATATGAGTTCCTGAATGAAACGAAAGTAATTATAAAAAACAAGGTAGGTACATTTATCGAAACTTTTATTAATTTGCACGTATTTTAAAATACTTTTTTTAAAAATATATTGAAATGTATGAATAAAGAGACTGGGTTTATCTTGTCACATGATTACCATTTACCATGATTACTTAAGAATATTGCGATACACGTGTGTACCTGTAATAAAAGAAAAACCTGACCTTTTATACAAATGTAATTTTGAGAATAAGTCTGTGATGTGGAAATATTATTTAAATTAAATTCTTGTCTTTTCTTACTATTTAAAATAAAATATGTATAACATTTTTCCATGTAATCGTTATTAAATTTGTTAATAAATAAATGTATTTTCTTTTTAAATTTTAATAAACACTAACTGACGGTAAGACATCGTACTGTCACAAGTTATAACAATGATTTTGATTCTTTGACAGCTGAAAAGAGTTTCTTTATAAAAGTGTTATGATGCTTCGCTGTTAAATTTTAGATAAGATAGAAACTTTACACTTCAGGGTTATTGTAAATCTTAGCGGGTTCAGAACCAATAATGTTTTTCTATGTTAAAGATAAAACTTATGAAGATGGAATGATCGTAAATTTAAATTGGTTCTGTATCGTACATTGAACAGTATTCCTAAGGCAACTTAAGATAGCCGAATCATCAAAAGAACTGCATTAGCACCGCAGTAAATCGGGCTCTCTTAATCGCTGTACCATCCTATATTTCTTGATTAAGAGCTCGTAAAAATGTCCTCTCCCTCTGATATATTGCCGGCGAGCGGGACAGGAGATTAGACCGCGGTCGCACGTGATATACAGTGATGGATTCCAGCTATAAAGGATTTTGCTAAAAAAATCACCATAAACAATAAAAAGCCAACGCTTCAACATCAAGCAGATATACTACGAAGAATATATACATTGTCTCTTGGATCTAAAACAATAAAAGTACTCAAACAAAAAGATCTATCTCGTAAATGATATAAGTAACAACGTCTTCTTGAAGAGGTTTCTTGGACGGAGTTAACTTCCGAATCGAATGGTCTTCAGGGACACGACATTCAAACATTACTTCCCTCTTGACGGATGGCGCCCGACCTTTCATCCTATCTCCTCGATTTACGACTTCCCGGGAAAAAAATGTGGACTCCTCAGAGATTTCCTCGACCTATATATTTTATTTCCCGGAAATGACGTAAGCGACGACTTCAGAATTTATGACGGCTGAAGTGATTCAACAGTCCGTCCATCGTGAGTAAAGAAACTTAAGCTTCTGCTCAGACTTAACACGTATTAATAGCGTTCTAAATAAAACATCAACAACATTTACGCGTCAAAATACAAGCAATAAATCATCGTTGCGGTAAGTCAGGATGTTTTAAAAGTAATTCAAAGTGCGGCGAAATGTAAGCACGACCAAAATAAAATAAAGCTGTCCTGAGAAGCCATTGTAGGGAGCACCGCGGGCGTATTTTATGAAGGAAGTTGTACATCACGCGATAAATCTCGTGGCACAGCTACTGTGTGACTCGGTTCACAACATGGGGATGTCGGGTGTTATATTATTATACAATCATTATAAATGTAACACTACTTTATATACTCAAACAGTCAGCGAAACCTATGTCTTAATAGTTATATAAGTATATAATAAATATATAATTATGTGTACCTACATTTTTAATTTAAATGAAACACATTGATTTTGAAGATGATGTACCATAGTAGATAATAATGAGAATGTTCCAGGTACTATATTTATATAACATGTCGCAAGTTCATAATTATGTTAATTCATTTAACTTTGTGATACAGACGATAAGATACTACGAGAAGTTTTTACTACCGGAATTATTGTTATTAAATTTGAAATTATCAAAAAACTTTATGTACGACGATTGATACAACGTATTGATTTTTATATAATTTTTTTTCGACTTTATTACTCTCTTAAAGTAATGCAGTAAGAAATAAATAATACTTCTTTATAAAAATTATCAAGAGGTAACACTGGGTTGCCACTAATCCTTTTATTTAAATATAACAATTATTACTTACTATAAATATAATAAAAAAAATATTAAGATACTAATATAATATAAAATAGTAAAAAAATGTGTTACTAAAGAACATAATAAAATAGTATTGAAAACATTTGACCGCCACATTTATTGCACCGTGTTATAAAGCCG